CGAGGCCTAAGGAGAGCAACTGCAAAGATTGATCTCAGGACGTCGCATTCGGCTCCAATCTTTGAGCTTAGAGCCACGGGAGACGCTTCCGAAGATTTGATGTTCTGCCCCTTTAGATGTTCTGCCCCTTTAAACCCCACGTGCCATCAAGGTCTAGCGGACTCCGAAATCTCTAGGACCTTCGTACCGAGAAGTGTACAGAGTACAACCACCTCGCCCTCCCCTACACCCTGAAGCTGGAGTGTCCGAGTTGCAACCGCAAGAGCCAAGCAGAGCCTCAAAGCCTTAATCCGCAAAATGAGATATTCCCAGCAGAACAGCCGTAAGTCGAAGATTTGAGGCCACTGGCAGCTTCTGGGATGACTCCGGGAGCGCGAGCAGCTCTGGTTCAGAGTTTGGGGAGCTCAGGGTTGAAGTGGTTAGCCTTCTGGCGGTTCTTGCGGTAGGTGGCTTACTGGCAAGAGCATGAACCAAAAGAGCAAATTTCAAGAGGAGCCTGTTTAAGAATATGTATATGCATGTGTTCGTGTGAGAGAACATATACTTAGATATTTGCACACACACACACATATATATATACACATACATACATACACATGTATATACATATGCCCATGTCTGGAGCTTTACTGATATCTAGATCTGTATCTGTATCCGTGTCTGCATCTAGAGAATATCTATACCTGTATTGCACTTACGCCGTCTCTCTATTTCTATCTCCTTACCAACATCGTGTCTCCTTGTGCCTGTATCTGCAGCTACATCTACATCCGCATCTGTATCTATGTCTGAATCTAGATGCAACTTCGCCTCCGGTACATGCATCTATCCATCCATCGTTCCATCTATCCACCCACATATTTGTAGGTGTCAATAGCATATACATACATGTACTTGTCATCCTGTATGGTTTAAAAGGAGAGCATGTGCGACAGATGGACAGATGAGATCATGGTAAAAGGTCTTATAGGGTCGATAGCAGAATATTTTTCACTGTGGTATAGTGCTAGAACGGCACCCAAATGGACAAAAATGGGAACACACTAGCTCTCGCTCTTTCTCTCTCATTCTTTCGCTTTTCTATGGATAAATATGAATACATGTATAAAAACCTAAGTATATGAATGAATAGACACATAGATCTACATACCCATGTATATATATATATGTGTGTGTGTGTGTATGTATGCATATGTATTTCTATATGACTTTTGTTACATGTGCACATGTGGTACTATGCGCATGCGTACACTCGTACATCCGCATGGATGTAGCCACCCGTGTACGTGCGTACATGCACGATGCGTATGTACTTGCCGCGTGCAGATGGGCAAGTAAGTGTATTCGCCCCGGTATACCTTTCTATCTACGTGGGTATCTGTTCGTTTGCCATCCAATCAACCAGCCAATCAATGAACTTATCTATCTACTTGTCTGTTATCCTTTATTTGTCACGCAGTCTATTACCTGTCTGTCGCCGATCCATCTATCTCCCTTTCTGTATATTTTTCTATATATCAATCTATATCTTTGCATTTACTTCTGTTTGTCTGTCTGTCTGTTCATGCCCGGCCCAGGTTTATGTATATACGAATGTTGCACATGTCCATGCGAGGTGTGTGCTCCTGGACCATGCGTAACATGCAAGCAAGACCATGGATAGGTGATGTGATGTATTTTGTCCATGTTGTCCCGACGCAAGACTGAATTTTACCGCGGCTCACTGAAACTCAGGACTGGGCACTTGAGTCAGGATCTACTTCTCTTCCGGAACATTAGTGCAGCGTTCTCCCGGCAGTCTCGCCTCCAACTTAAGTGGCAGAAGACGGCTTGCGGCAAATTTCCGTTAGTTCTGTGTCGCTCAGGTACCAAGCTCGGCGCGGCGAAGCTTACGGAGCTCTTCTCCAACTCCCGGTCGCTGCAGTTTTCGCAGAAGCTGGAGGACCTTCCGACTGGCGAATGTGCCTGCGTGTCAATTTTTTTTGTTTTGGGCAGGCCCTGCAGCCCTTGAGGTTGAATCCAGTAAGTTGGGCACAAGCATGGGGTGGCGTGCTCCGTGGCTGATGTTCAATCCCGTGTGACCCTCTCTCATAGGCTGGCCCCCTTGCAAGGATGGCTTTCGAGACGCCTTGGACCATCCATCACAGGTGTGGAGCTTTGGCTTTCGGCTCTTGGGATTTCGTGGAGAACCGGGACCTGCCTAGCTTTGCAAGTACACGAAGGAGCGTTATCGCAGAGCGTCATGCTATGGAGGTCAATATCGAACAATGCATAGCACCACGCATCGCAGGACTACAGTGCGGTACAGTACATTGCCTGCGTGCTGGAGGATGTAGATCACTCCTGGTGGGTAGCAGGTAAAGTCCTGTGCAAAAAACGTAGAGCATGGAGCAGGACCGCAGGATGCAGTCTAGCAGAACATCAGCAGGGCAGAAGGCAGCACGGCTTAGCGCAATGTTGAGAGTTTCAGGCTACACGAGCGCCGCTCTCCGCGTCGACATGCATCGTGGTCGTGGACCGCAGGGAGGATGCCGATCTGGTGACTTCCCATGCTTGGAGTTCACGCTTCAGGCTTTAAGGCTCAGGGCGTGGGGTTGTCTTTATTGCTATTTTTGAGTGGGCCAGCAAACTCTCCGGTCGTCTGGGCAGAGAATGATTGTTTTCGTTTGCAAGGTTTTCAGGCTTGGGAGCACATGAATGCAACGTCTGTTCCCTTGAAGCTTTTGTTATCGTGTCCCCTATCCGAACACAAACGATGGGCCTGCACAAACGGAATGTTAAGAAACACTGCTGCTGCTCCTCGTGCTGCTGCTGCAGTTGCTAGCAGCTCTTCTTTACCCCTACTGATACCGATAATCATGATCATGATCACGGCCCGACGGCTACAGTTGTAGTAGTGGTAGTGCAGTGGTAGTTGTAGTGGTAGTGTAGTGGTAGCAGTACCATCGTAGCGTCAATGTCGTGCTGCCTTGCTCTGTTTTTCGTGGTGGTGGCCACTGGGTGGAATCACCAACAAATTGTTGTCCCTTTCAAGACGGGCTGCGACTCGGCCACCGGCATGAGACCTGCCCCTGGGAAGGCCACGGCATAACCATTGCAGTTTTCACAATCAAGAACCCCAACCCCCTTGATGCGGAGGCGGTTGAACAGTTGAGACGACTGCAGTTCAGGCTGCCGGAATGAGTCCACCATGCACAGTTTTCTGAAACAGTGTGCCGACACGGCCACTCAGCCAGTGTGCCCCTTACCACTTGTAAAACGCGGAGATCGTGTCCTACTACCAGGTTAGCTTGACATCTCTCCAACTGTTTGAAATGTACCAGCTCATCGAGTTGCCAGGTTGTATATGCGATGTAGACCTGCACACTCTCTCGACTAGTTGAGTAGGTTGCACGTTTGCAGCTATTCGTAGCGGAACTGGCCCATGTGGATTTTGTGCTCACGCAGCGCGGGTGCAAAGCACTGCCACTACCTGAACGCCAAGCTGAGCGACCGGCTGCGATGGGAATGAAATAGTGGTAGTAGCGGTGGCAGTAGCAGTAGCAGTAGCCGTAGCAGTGGCAGTACCGGTAGTGGTATTGGTAGTGGGTGGTGGTGGTGGTGGTGGTGGCTGGATGGAGGAAATCTTGCACCGCCCAGATGCTGACACATGACACCGCCCATCACCAGGACCCCACGCCATCTGTTTAATATTGACGGCGGTACGCCATGTGGCTGGTGCCAGAATTTTGTCAGTGAAGCCCGCGGCCCTTCCCAGGACTGGACATCAATGCTAAACAAGGGCCGTGGAGTATTCTCGTTGTTGGTCTATTCAAACTAGTGCAAGGTTTTGTTCATCCACGATACCCGTCAGCATCGTAAAATGGAGTTATGGAGAAACTTCCAGGAGTGGATACGCTTTGGGAAAGGTGTGATGGCAAAGACTGTTGAAAATACCTTTGGAGGACTTCCCTATACTCGTGTTGAGCAGGCTCGATCTGCTTTGTTGACTAAGCAGGTATAGTGAGATTCTGTACCTTCCTGACAGTTAACACACACTTAACACTGCAGTGAACACTGCAAAAATGCTGCGAAAACCAGCGTTCTGGAGTTTATACACTATAGAGGGCAACTCCTCCTTCATTGCTCTTAATGTTAGGGGTGCAGAAAATGCAGATGGTTGCAGCGATGCGGCTGTGTAAACTGTAGTGAGCTGTAGTGTTAGTTGTTAATTGAGCGTTAGCTGCATGTTAACTGTACAAAACATAGAAAAAAGTTAGCTGCATGTTAACTGTACAAAACATAGAAAAAGCTCAAAGGCCAGAACTGTTGCCTTGACAGGGATCCTGTCGGTGGATGGAGGGTTCCCGGAAGTCCCGATGCTGATTCATGACACCGCCCGTTACCAGGACCCAACACCATCTGTGTTATTATTGATGACAGTGCACCATGTCAGTGAAGCCCACGGCCCTTCCGATTGGACATCAATGTTAAACAAAGGGCGCGGGGTGATCTGTTGTTGTTGGTCTATTCAAGCCGGTGCAGGACTTCCCCCATCCACAGTAGTAGTCGTCGTGGCAGCAGCAGCAGCAGCAGCAGCAGCAGCAGCAGCAGCAGGAGCAGCAGCAGGAGCAGGAGCAGCAACATGAGCAGGAGCCGGAGACGGAGCCGTAGCCGTAGCCGTAGCAGTAGCAGTAGAAGCAGCAGTAGTAGTAGTGTCGGGTACGAGAGGGATTTTCATGTCACGTAGTGAGTTTGTTTTTCTCAGCAGCAGTAGGAGTAGATGTAGCAGTGACCGGCGGAGTAGGTAACCGGTGCAATCGTATACCGACGGTAAGCAGACCGCAAAGGTGGAGTTCCTTGAGCTGCTCGGCTTGGTCGCACCCGGCTTTCAACCACTGTTTTGTGATGTTTTGCGGGATCAGTAGTTTTCGGAGTCCACGGTTTTCTCGTGCCAGTGTTTCGCTCGCAGGAAGGTGCACAAGAAGTTGGCGCGGACAAGCGATGCAGCCACACGCGTCATGGTGTCCGCCTTCCAAGTCTCCGAGATCCTGGGCCGCTCTGGCTACCACGCGTCGACGGTGTCGCAGCGCTGTGAGCGGCTGGTGTCCGATCGGGGTGACCCAGCGACGGGCACGGTTCTTCTCGGGCACTTGCTGCATGAGGTGCGCGAAGGAAGCAAGACCAAGCAGCCCGGGGCCGGCACATCACGGATGCGTGCAGTGCTTTTCAAGGCAGTTGCCGACTGGCTGTCCGTGGCCCCATGCTCACTTCACCGCGAGGAAGCTGCAGCTCGTGGCACTGCGGGGGTGACGTGGAACTCTGTCCAGGTTGATGGGGACAGCTATTTGGTGGACATCATGTTCGAGCCCGGCGCGCTCTACGAAGATGGTTCGGGCAAGGCTTGCGAGTACTTGCGGCGGCTGCGGCAAGAGTGTGAGGAAGCTGCGGCACCTTCCAAGTCCAAAGCTAGAAAGGCAGAGAGTGCGGCACCCTCGCTCCAGCAGAACCTGGGTGGCCGCATGCTGCGGCCTTCCTGGCATGTGGAGCCTTGGGAAGTGGAGTTTGACCGAAGGGACCGAGCTGGCCGTGGTGGTTTTGGCGAGGTTTTCCAAGGCACCTGGGCAGGCCAACAGGTGGCCGTGAAAGAGGTCCGCGATGCAAGCCCCACCGATGCCGACGTTTGTGACTTCGTGCTGGAGATTTCTCTGCTCTCCCGGCTATCGCACCCAAACATCGTGCGCTTCTGGAGAGGCTGCGTTGACCTACGAGGTGGCCATCGGACGCTCCTGCTGGTCACAGAGTGGATGGATCGGGGTGTCCTCTCGCAGCTGCTCCATGAGTCGCAGGAGCCCACGTTGACGTCGGGACAGTCCCATGTGCTGGCTCTAGGCATCGCTCGGGGCGTTGCATATCTGCATCATGTGAAGATCCTCCACCTCGACCTGAAGTCGCCCAATGCTCCTTGGCACTCCCTGCCAGTGCTAGCACCCCCGCCACTAATTAGTAGATGAGAAGCTGGACTCAACAATTGCAGCCAGTCGCTGCGCCAGCTCAAATTTCAAACGTAAACCCTCTAAACCAGCTCCCCTTAAGCCCCCCTTTTAAGCGAGGGGACGTTAAACCCACGTCCCAACCGAGGTTTTGCTCAATAGTAGCTGGCAGCCCAAGCTTTGCGACTTCGGGCTGGCGAAAATCCGTGAACAGAGCCTGGGATGGAAGAAGCAAGATATGATTTGGTCAGTATTCCATATTGTTTTGAACGCCTCTGCCACTCACTCCGGTGCTCGCTATGTTGTTGCTGCCCTTCCCCCCTCCTATCTACTCGTGCAAGTCGTGTTGCCACCGCCACAACCCCACAAACACCTCCTAAGGACCTATTACGAACCACTGGCTTGGTAGTATTAACGACCACTCAACACTCACTGGCTCCCGGCTTCTTGATAGGACCTTATTGTTGTTGAACATATGCCATACTGCTTGGTACTTTTTGCTACATGCCACTACATACTACAACATGTTACTACACACTACTCACCTTCTACTGCTGCTGCTACAACAACAACAA